TTCTCTGAAATCTGATTATATAGTTAATGCTCTATTTCTCTCTGTTTGGGGAACTATAGTACATGCCCAACAGTGTTTTTACTGCTTCTGTGTGTTTTGCTTCTCCCCATACAGCCTCATGTGATGATCCTTCCACAATATAATTCCTCCTCACTGCTATAATTGATTCCTTGATCAATGTTGTGAACACCCTCTCCTCTTTTATTCTCCTCTGTTTCATATCTGACGATCCTATAACCAGTAATATTGAACTGCCAACCCTGCCCATTTTCAGTCATGTTTTGATCATAGCAATGATATCACATTTCTATATGCCTATCTGAACCCTCACCTTGGTTATCTTATTCCTCAGGGTCTTGTATTAAATATATATTCCACTTAGCCTTGCTAAACTAATTTCTTTCTTATCTAGCCTATGTTTCATCTGCCTTCCAGACTCACTCACCTTTACACTTTTAATCCCATCTCAGGAGCTCGAACAGTTCATCCACTTCACCAACACCTTCCACCCCAACCTTAAGTTTACCTGGACCATCTCTAATACCTCTCTCCCCTTCCTGGACCTCTCTGTCTCCATCTCGGGCAACCCCTAGAAACCGATATTCATTTCAAGCCCACCGACTCCCACAGCTACCTAGACTACACCTCCTCCCACCCACCTTCCTGCAAAAATGCCATCCCCTATTCCCAATTCCTTCGCCTCCGCCGCATCTGCTCCCAGGATGAGGCATTCCACTCCCGTACATCTCAATTGTCCTTGTTTTTCAAGGACCGTAACTTCCACCCCTCAGTGGTCAAGAACGCCCTCAACCGTGTCTCCCACATCTCCCGCAACTCATCCCTCACACCCCGTCCACGCAATAAGAACCAAAAAAGAATCCCCCTCGTCCTCACATACCACCCCACCAACCTCCGGATCCAACGCATCATCCTCCGACACTTCCGCCATCTGCAATCCGACTCCACCACCAAAGACATCTTTCCCTCCCCACCCTTATCTGCTTTCCGGAGGGACCACTCTCTCTGTGACTCCCTTGTCCGCTCCACACTACCCGCCAGCCCCACCACATCCGGCACTTTTCCCTGCAACCGCAGGAAGTGCTACACCTGCCCCCATACCTCCTCCCTCACCCCCATCCCAGGCCCCAAGAAGACTTTCCACATCAAGCAGATGTTCACCTGCACATCTGCCAATGTGGTATACTGCATCCGGTGTACCCGGTGTGGCTTCATCTACATCGGGGAAACCAAGCGGAGGCTCGCGGACTGCTTTGCAGAACACCTATGCTCGGTTCGCAATAAACAACTGCACCTCCCAGTCGCGAACCATTTCAACTCCCCCTCCCATTCCTCAGAAGACATGTCCATCCTGGGCCTCCTGCAGTGCCACAACGATGCCACCCGAAGGTTGCAGGAACAGCAACTCATATTCCGCTTGGGAACCCTGCAGCCCAATGGTATCAATGTGGATTTCACAAGCTTCAAAATCTCCCCTCCCCCGACCGCATCCCAAAAGCAGTCCAGCTCGTCCCCGCCTCCCTAACCTGTTCTTCCTCCCACCTATCCCCTCCTCCCACCTCAAGCCGCACCCCCATCTCCTACCTACTAACCTCATCCCACCCCCTTGACCTGTCTGTTCTCCCTGGACAGACCTATCCCCTCCCTAACTCCCCACCTACACTCACCTTTCCTGGCTCCATCCCCGCCTCTTCGACCTGTTTGTTTCCTCTCCACCTGTCCTCTCCTCTATCCATCTTCTATCCGCCTCCCACTCTCTCCCTATTTATTTCAGAACCCCCTTCCCCTCCCCCTCTTCTGATGAAGGGTCTAGGCCCGAAACATCAGCCTTTCTGCTCCTATGATGCTGCTTGGCCTGCTGTGTTCATCCAGCCCTGCACCTTGTTGTCTCGGATTCTTCAGCATCTGCAGTTCCTACTATCTCAGCTTCTCTCCCCTCTGAACTACTTTTCAGGATCCCAATCCCCTGCCAACCTATTTTAAATCCATCCTAATAACATCAGCAAACCTCGCCACGAAGATGTTAGTTATATTTCTGTTCAAATGTAACCTGCCCAATCTGTACAGTGGCCCATTTCACGCAGAAATGCTCTCAAAGCTACAAGAATCCAAAGTCCGTCCTCCTACACAATCTCTCCAATCGCGCATTCATCTGCTCAATTCTTCAATTCCTGTAGCACCAGGAGTAATCCAGAGATTATATTTGAAGTCCTGCTTTTTAATTTTCTACCTAACTCCCTTGTTGCGATCGATGAAGTTAATGACTAAGATTAAAAGTGTCAAAGAATGCAAACCTTTGTATCTATTTAATCATTACTATCCATCAGTGTTTGGTTCTTTTTCTGTGGTGGAGGTGTAAGTTAAAGCTGGCCATTACTTGTCTTCTCCTTTACTGGGACACAGTTCTACAGCCCTCCAGTACCTGGTACAAGAGGCTTTTATTTATTTTTGATGCTATCAATAAACTGTTTAAACACAAAAGACAACAGAAGCATACCAATATCTGCCTTCACTCAAATTTAAGATAGCAGCACTTTCCAGTAGGAGTTCACAGAATCACAGAATGGGGGCAGCACAGGTGGAGGTCTTTTGGCCCATTGTGTTTGTACTGGCTCTCCAAAGAAACAATTCATCTAGTGCCACTCTTGTGCCATCTTCCTGTGGCGTCGCAGATGGTAATCAATCCCCTCTTGAATGCTACACTTGAATCCATCATACTCTCAGGCAGTACGTTCAAGTTCATAAGCATTACCTGCATGAAAGCAATGTTCCACATGTTGCATTGCTCTTTTATTTCCAACATGTTTTCAATTCATCCACTAATCATAGAGTCATAGAATTCCTAGTGCGGAAGCAGGTTATTTGGCCCATCCAGTCCACATCGATCCTCCAAAGGGCATCCCACCCAGACCCACCCCCTGTATTCCCCATGGCTAATCCAACCAGACTGCATTTGCCTGGACATTATGAGCAATTTAACATGGCCAATCCACCTAACCTGCACATCTTTGGATGGGAACAGTTCTTCCCTATTTACTCTGTCCTAATCTTTCATGATTGCAAATACCTATCTATCAAATTATCAAAAATTGTCCCAACTTCCCTTTCTGAGATACTCCTGAGAAGAATCAGGAGCAGGAGCTACTGCCAATTTTTCTTCCTGAAGGGTGCAGCATCAGAGGAAACTTCTCTACCCCAAAAAAACAACTGACTCAGAAGAGACCCGGTTTCAAACTGGTTGTTGACTTTCTGTTACCCTGAGCTTTACATTAAACTAACAGATTATTGGCTGTGCTTCAGAGGTGTGCTTTGATTTTATACAATGGAACAGTGTTAAGCTTTGCTGATGCTGGCATTATGAAGGATGCTGCCCACAATATATGTTCAATACATAGTGGAATGGGTGAAGATTTCATGAAGTCAGACTGGGCAGAGTCTTACACAAAGGTATGATCTCCAATAATATAAAATCACCAGGTTTAATGTGTACCTTGCCTATTTAGAGAGTGAAAAGTGGATGTTTCAAGACCCCTTTAAGATGGCAAAAGTACTTCCTTCAAATGAAGGATAAAAACTGAAGTGTCAGTTATTGAGAACATTTCAAAAAAAAAATCATCTGGTTAAGAGAAGCAGTGAAACATCAAATACTGGGACATAAACAGACAAACTGTTAAAGTTGAAGGTATGAAACAATATCAGCAACTGCTGGAAATGCTCAGCAGGTCAGTCAGCATCTGTAAAGAGGAAACAACAGGTTAAAGCTGCAGTGGGGAAAAGCCAGGCAAAACGCTGGGCAATTACTAAGAGGCCCGAAGCACAATGCAATAAAAACACGCTAGAAGTGGACTGCAATAAATATAAATATTTATTATAACAATAAATATGAATTTGTGATAACGTTACAAGTTAGGGGTGGCAAATTGATTCCCATCCCTTCATCGTCCATCAATACTGGAATGTTCTGAACTGCAACTACTACTTAAAAAAAAGTTAAGTAAAACTAATTGGTTTATGCCACAGAGTTATGTTAAATTAAGAAAGCTCCCTGTAATCAAAAATACAGCAATTTGAATGCTGAGCAGTCCTTGATGGCTTATAATAAATAATTTTACACATGTTAAAAACAGCTAGAATTGAATAAATACTGAAATTAACATCGACCACCTTTGGAAGATTTGCTCCCCCTCTTCACATTCATGTACCACCTACCAGTCCCTGGCCTAGGAAGTTGGCATGCAACCTGCTGCCTGGCCTTTGTGCTAGTTTTGCTCACTACTTATGAAAGAGCAGGAGGGAAAGGATGAGCATCACACGTTCCTATCTCCAATCCCTGTCTACTTCTGACAAAGCTGCCTATAGTTGGCAAATAACTGTTCAGGGAAATTGTGAACATCGAGCCAAAGACATTCCACAATGTGGCATGACAATAGCGCTAGCATTCTGCCCACATTTCACCTCTTTGCAAGTGCAATCATTTATCATTTTTAAAATAAGCCATAATGAACTGCAACTTTATATATGTAACAAGGGAGCAATTAAAAAAACAATTATTTTTAAAAATGTAGGTTTAATGTTAGTTTATTAAAATATTACTCAAAAAGAAACTATAACAATATAAACAACACTCACATATGTCTAGCAATAACCAGAATCACAAGCACTAACTAATAGTTAGGTGTGTTTCAACTGAAGTTTGAAACTGAATAAAAAGTAAATGTCACTGAAGACAGTTTAAAATGTATCAATAACAATCTGTAACACCAACAAATTTTTCTTTCTGTATTTTTTGCGTGCAAAAGTTAAAATTATATTTTCACTGCTCAATATTTTCATGCATGGATGTTATAAACATCAAGTGCTCCCGTGTGGAGACAAAACTGTGAATTCTCAGTTTGGTTTATTATAAATAAAAGAATCATCATTCCAAAGAGATACTTTTTTATGATGGTATGGTTAAAACAAATGGAATAGTTTTTTTTTAGCTACAGGCTTTTTAATACTTTGCCTTCTTGTTCATCATCACTATGGACCATCTCCACTCTTTGTGGCTGTGATGGAGCAGACATTGGGGTCGTGAAGACATTTTCCAGTGCTCCAACATCTAACTGTGGCACAGAATTCAGGTACTCTTCACCTCCCAGGCTGTTGGAGTGAGGTCCTTCCTCAATGCTGCTATTGCTCCTGGAGTCTGTGTTGCGTTGACAGTCATCTGGGTACTCTCTAAAAGGGTAATCTCTATTCAGTGCAGAGAACATAGCTTCATGCTTCTGGTATCGGTCCTCATAATAGCCCAGGCATTCAGACATGCTGTTTGCGAAATCACCATAGCCATAGGGTGGCCTACTGTAAGGGCAGGTACTATAGAGGGAAAAGAGATAGAATCAGTTCAATGTTTGCCTATAACATAATAACGGACAACAACATTGAATGCATTACAAAGAGTTACAAATGGTTTGAAGGATATTACGAACAAAACAGGAAAGCACAGCAGTGTAACTGTTATGTTAAGTTACATTCCTAATGTTATTATCCTTCAAACATCTGACCTTGCCAACATCTACTTCTTCCAAAGGCACTTTGCCACTATTTAGCTGATTTGGGCTATTATCCAGATCTTGGTTGTTAGTTCATAGAATTGTTCACAGAATCCCTACAGTGTAGAAACAGGCCCTTTGCCCAACAAGTCGACACTGACCCTCAGAGCATCCCACCCAGACCCATCCCCCTATAACCATCCTAATCTATACATCCCTGACCACTATAGGCAATTTAGCATGGTCAATCCACCTAGACTGCACATCTTTGGACTGTGGGAGGAAACTGGAGCACCCGGAGGAAACCCACGCAGACACAGGGAGAATGTGCAAACTCCACACAGTCGCCTGAGGGTGGAATTGAACATGGGTCCCTGGCCCTGTGAGGCGGCAGTGCTAACCACTGAGCCACCGTGCCGCCCAAAATTGCCACGACTTTGGATGGCATGGCTAGGCGAGCTGAAGTGTAGGTAGAACTTGAAGTCTGGTTTTATGTCTAGAGTTTATTAAATCATTCTGGTGTCCTGTGACCCCTATCAGGAGTTTGCTCCTGGCGAAGCATTGAAGGTTGACTGTAGAAGGCTTGATTGGGCAAAAGTTCTATCGTTTTAAAATGCTGGATGTGGAAACACATAGATTTCAAGAGTTGCTGGCAACAAATAATAAAAGTGGCATTGCATGAGGTAAGCCCTTCAGTTTGTGCTATGTTTATGCACTGTGGCAATGTTTATGCATGTCAGCACCTTTTGGGGCATGGCTGCTGAAATCCTGAAATTACCAGAGCAAGTGCAGAAGGTGATGGAATAGCTCGGGAGAAAATTTACACCACATCCAGCTGGAGATATGCTTAGCTTTTCATTGTGAGAAGGGTTTCTGCTAGAAATTCGTAGCCAGTGCCTTTTATTAGCAAGAGACATTTGGCATTGAAGGACACAGATGAAACATCAGGCTCTACCATACAAGATATCACAAGAATTGGACACAAATAGGGAGGTAATTAAGTAATTATGACAACGTGGATTTTCGAACTGAGAAGAAGGCAGAAGATAAGGAGGTCATCGAAATCTATCATTTAGAGACGTGGGAATGACAGAGGATAGAAATTGTTTTGATTTCAAATCAGTATCAATAAGTAGGGATAGGAAGGAAAGTTTAGAACAACACAAACCATAAAGGATCTTAAACACTTCAATCAAGTCACCTCTCTCTCTTCCAAACTCCAGCGAAAGCCCAGCATGGACAATCTTTCCTCATAAGACAACCCCCTCATTCTATGTTTCCATCTAGTGGACCTTGTCTGAATCGCCTCTAGTTCATTTCCACCTGCTATAAACATGTTCAATTCCTTTCATAATAAAGGATAATATTCTATTAACCTTCTTGATTACGTGCTGGTCCTGTTAATCAACTTTTTGTGACTCATGCAAAACATCCATATTCCTCTGCGCCTCAAAATTCTACAGTCTTTCTCTATTTAAGTATTACTCTGCTTTTTTATTCTACCAAAGTGAACAACTTAACATTTTCCTGCATTATACTTCCATCTGCCAGATTTTTGCCTACCCACTCAACCCATATATATCCATCTTTGTTATGTTCTCTTCACAACATACTTTCCTACCTATCTTTGTGTCATCCTCAAATTCAGCCACAATGTCTTCACTCCCCTCATCTGAGGTATTGATATAAATTGTAAAAAGCAGAGGCCCCAGCACAAACCCACACAGAACTCCACTCATTACATCCTGCCAATCAGAAAAAGGTCAATTTATGCATGATCTCTGGCTGGCAGAAAACAGTCTTCTATCCATTCTAATCTATTGGCCCCTACACCATGAGCTCATACTTCCAGCATTAACCTTTTATATGGCACCTTGTTAAATGCCTTCTAGAAATCCAAATACAAAATGTCTACAGGCTTCCCTTTATAATCAGTGCTGGCTACCCCTTCAAAAATTCATTAGATTGGTTAAATGTGATTTCCCTTTCACAAAACCATGCCAACTTACCCTGCGTACCTTGAGCTTTTCCAAATGCCCAACTATTGCTTCACTAGTAATCGATTCTAACACCTTCCCCAAGAAGAACATCAAGCTAATGGGCCCATAGTTTGCTCAGAGAAAGTAAGAACTGTTTCTTGTTTACGCCTCCCCAATTCTTGAATACAGGAATTACATTTGTTACTTTCTAGTTTGATGGAACCTTTTCAGAGTCCAGCAAACTTTCGACAATTAACATCAATGCATCTACTACATAATCTGGGAGAGGCAGAATTACGCTGCAGGTAATCACACCTGGTAGATCAAGTACCACAAATTCGGTCAGTGGCCAGGGACAGCAGGGTATGACTGCAAGTGAGGCAGGTATAGGGATCCTGCAATCAGGAACAGAGGAGCCTCAGATCTTGACCTTGTTCAAAAGGTACAAAGTATTTGCTCCCCCTGTGTCGATGAAGAATAGGGCTGTAGGACGATAGGCCAGCTGACCACAGCACCGTGGCACAAGAGACCATTCAAGAGGGGGAAGCAAAAAGACAAGGGTATTTGTAGGGGATCCTATTATTAGGGGAAATAGGTAGCATCCTTTGTAGGCAGGTTAGGGACCCCTCCATGGCATGTTGCCTGCCTGATGCCAGGGTGAGGAACATCTCTGATTGGCTTGAAAGGATATTGGAGAGGGAGGGGAAGGATCCAATTGTTGTGGTCCACGTCGGGACAAACAACATAGGCAAGAGGACAGGTTTAGGGATAATCGGGAACTAGGAACTAAATTAAAGAACAGGTCCTCAAGGGTTATAATCTCCAGATTACTGCCTGAGCTATGTGCAAATTGGCATACGGATGCGAGAATAAGGGAAGTAAACACATGGCTAAAAGAGTGGAACGAGAAAGATGGGTTCCTTTCCATGGGGCACTGGCATCAGTATTGGAACAGCAGGGATCTGTACCGTTGGGACGGTCTCCACCTGATCTGAGCAGGGAACAATGTTCTCACGAAAAGGATAAATAGGGTGGTCAACAGGACTTTAAACTAGAAAGTGGGTGGAAGGGAAGAGTAAAACTCCAAGAAGTATAATGGTCAATGGGAAACAAAGCAGCAGGTTAACATCTGTGGGGGTGGATTCAACTGCATGGAAAAGTATGAAAAAAATGAAACGAAAGGAGGACTCAGGAAAAGGTTATTAATGTTTCCAGCACAAAAAATAGGACAGAGTGTTTGGAAAGGAATCAAACTTCAAGCACACTGGATAAACAAATGACAATGAGAAGAGGGACGGTCAATACAAGACTGAAGGTGCTGTACCTGAATGCATGCAATATACAAAATAAGATAAATAGGCTTGTGGCACAGATTGAAATTGGCAGGTATGATGTGATAGGCATCACGGAGAAGTGGCTGCAAGGGGATATTACAGGCCAATTAGCCTGACCTTAGTTGTCAGTAAGATTTTGGAGGCCATTGAGATTTCTGAATACTTGGAAGCGCATGGTAAAACAGGGAAAAGTCAGCATGGTTTCATTATGCCTGACAAATCAGAATTCCTGGAGGAGGTAATGAGCAGGTTAACCTAAGAGAGCCAATGGATGTTATCTACCTGGAATTCCAGAAGGCCTTTGACAAGGTGTCGCACACGAGACTGCTGAGTAAGATAAGGGCCCATGGTGTTAGAGGCAAGGTATTAGCATGGATAGAAGATTGGCTGTCTGGCAGGAAGCAGAGAGTGGGGATAAAAGGATAAAAGTGACTAGTGGTGTTTCACAAGGGCCAGTGTTGGGACCATAACTTTTCACTTTCCATGAAGGAATTGAGGGCATTCTGGCTAAGTATGCAGATGACACAAAGATAGGTGGAGAGACAAATAGTATTGAGGAAGTGGGGAGGCTGAAGGATTTAGACAGGTTAGGAGAGTGGGCAAAGAAGTGGCAGATGGAAAACAACGTGGGAAAGTATGAGGTCATGCACTTTGGTAGGAAGAATAGAGGCATTGACTATTTGCTAAATAGGTAGAAAATTCAGAAATCTGAAGTGCAAAGGAACTTGGGAGTCCTAGTCCAGGATTCTCTGAAGGTACACTTGCAGGTTTAGTCGGTAGTTAGGATGGCAAAGACAGTGTTGTCATTTATTTTGACAGGACTAGAATATAAAAGCAGGGAAGTACTTCTGAGGATTTATAAAGCTCTGGTCAGACCACATTTAGAGCAGTGTGAGCAATTTTGGGCCCCATACCTCAGGAAGGATGTACTGGCTCTGCAGCGGGTCCAGAAGTGGTTCATGAGAATGATCCCAAGGCTAAACACACGTCGAACGTATAAGGACTCCAGGTCTATACTTGATGGTGTTTAGAAGGATGAGGGGGGATCTAATTGAAACTTATAGAATACTGAAGAGACATGACAGAGTGGACATTGGGACGATGTTTCCATTGGCAAGGCAGACTAGGACCCAAGGGCACAGCCTTAGAGTAAAGGGAAGACCCTTTAGAATGGAGATAAGGAGAAACCTCTTCAGCCAGAGAGTGGTGATTCTATGGAATTCCTTGGAGGCCAGGTAAAAGATAATAGGTTCTTGATTGTCAAAGGGATCAAAGGTTGTGGAGAGAAAGTGAGAGAATGGGCTTGAGAAACTTATCGGCGATGATTGAATAGTAGAGCAAACTCGATGGGCCAAATGGTGCAATTTCTGTTCCTATGTCTTATGGTCTTATGAGTCACCCCCTCTTAAGACCTTAGAATGAAAAAGTTCAATCAAGACCAGGGTCGTGTCAGCCTACACTTCTGTCTGTTCATTTAGTACACGGGCCTAGTGATTGTAATTCCACCAAGATTCTCTCTCTCTCTTCCACTGCCTGATTTATATCTATTACTGGAACTTTTTTGTATCCTCTGTGTTGAAGACTGAAGCAAAATATGTATTTACTTTATGAGCTATGACCTTTATATCTATTATTAAATCACCATTCTCACTGAGAGGACTAACACTTATTTTAGTTAATCTTTTCCATTTTTAATGCCTACATAAACTCTTACTATCTGTTCTCACATTTCTAGCTAGCTTTCTCTTATACACTAATTTCGATCTCTACATTAATCTATGAGTCATTCTCGTCCATTTTTTAAAATCTGATCCGGGATTGGTTTTTGGATGCTGGCTTTTCCTGATTTATATTAATGTTCTAGATGGTGGAGTGGAAGGATTGTTGACAGATTGAATTCAATGTAGAGAAGTGCATTTTTGTGGGAAGAACATTGAAAGATAGTATAAAATAGGGGTACAATTCTAAAGGGGTACAGGAGTAGGGGGACCTGGGTGTATATGTTTCAGATCACTGAAGGTAGTAGGACAGGTTGAGAAAGCAATTAATAAAGCAGATATTATCCCTTTATTTATAGGGACATAGAATACAAAAGCAAGGAGGTGATGTTGAATTTGTGTGAGACCTTAGCTGGATGTTGTGTACAGTTCTGGATGCCACATTAAAGGAAGGATTTGAATGCACAGGAGAGAATGCAGAAGCAATTTATAAGATTGGCTCCCAGGAATGAGAACATTTAGTTATGAGGGCAGTTGAAGAAGTTGGGACTGTTCTCCCTGGTAAGGAGAAGACAGAATGGAGATTTGATAAAGGTCTTCAAAATCATGAGCGGGTTTCAGTATACAGGGAGAAACTGTTTCTGCTCATAAAAGGAATCAGAAGGCACAGATTTAAAGTGATTTACAAAAGGAGCAAATGTTGATGTGAGAAAAAACTTTTTCACATAGTGAGTAGTTTTGGAATGTAGTGCCTGGAATATGTTGGAAGCAGGTTCAATTGAAGCATTCAGGAGGGTATTGGATGGTAATTGGGATAGAAATAATGGGCAACAGTACAGGGAAAAAGCAGGAAAATGACTGTAGGTAATGACACTCATTTGAAGATCAGTGTAGGCACGATGGAGTGAATGTTCCTTCTGCACTGTGACACTTCTGTATGTACATACAAACAAGGAACAAGAGTAGGCCACTTGACCCTTTGATCATGGCTGTTCTCATTTTAAGCTCAACTCTACATGCAAGACGTGGGTTTGGGTGCTGATGGTAGACATCTATTTGCAATTCTCATACATCTTACAGGCTCAATAAATTAAATGGAAAGTTACTAAACCAGAGGTCTTCACTAGAATAGAAACACAGAAAATAAGAGCATGAGTAAGCCATTTGGTCCATTAGCATTCCTAAAAACCTTCAACATGATCATGGCTGGTTCTCAATCTCTATTTTTCTCCTGCTCTTTCCCAGTACTCCTTGAAGGTTTCAGTCTGTAAAAATCTATCCACTTCTTTCTTAAACATATAATTCAGTGACTTCATCTCCACAATCTCATGTGGCAGGGAATTCTATAGGCTCACCAATATCTGAGTGGAAAAAGGCCAAGTCCAAACAGGCCCACCCTGTATCCTGAGATCATGACCCCTTGTTCTGGACCCCTCACCCAGGAAAATATCATACCTGCATCCAATCTGTCCAGCCCCGTCAGAATTTTACATGTTTCAATGATATCCCCTCTTACACTTCTGAACACCAGCGATTACAAGCCCAGTTGACCCAATCTTTCCTAATGACAAATCTGCTATACCAGGAATCAGTTTGATGAACCCTTTGTGCACTCCCTCTATAGCAAGTATATCTTTGTCAAGTTAGGAGACGACAACTACACACAGGTGTGGTTTCACCAATGCCCTATACATGGACAGTATGATATTCTTGCTCTGTACTCAAATCTTTTTCCAAAGAACATCAGAATACCACAATCCTTCCTGTTTTCTGCACATCTGAATATCTGAAGACTGCTTCAAAAACATCCTGAAAATGTTTTGAGGCAGGAATATTCTTTCTGGCCTCACAAAAAGTGCTGCATCTTGCTACTGCTTGCTCAGTGCATCATTAAAACTTATTATCTGGTTGTTTTTGGAAGCTAACTGCAGCTATATTTGTTATATTACAACAGTTACTACACTTCAAGGGTACGTTCTCAATAGGTTGTAAGGCCTTTTAGGTCGCTGAGAGATTGTGAAAATCAAGTTTTTAAAGAAAAGACTTGTGACAAATAGTTTGGATAATTTTAGAAGTATACATCTTGATGATGACAGGTGAAATCATCAGCACCAAAAACTTTATTGCAATTGACATAGTAGAGGACCAAATTGATCCAGCATACCAGAAATGTGATGTTTATATTGATCGAATGCATTAGAATAATGAAAGAGATTACTGCCAATGGAGGTTTAAGGGAAAAATGAGCCAACAGAGCAGCTACTAATGTTCAAGAAAGATCATAGCATGTGTACAAAAATAATGACAATGTGCAACGTGGTTTATCACTGAGCTTTCTGGATCAAGAATCACAGAAGAGTTAAAAAATAACAATCATCATTATTATTCCAAAATTGCCTCCTGTACTGGCACAAAAGCTTGCATGTGTGTTTTGGTGTGTTGAAAACACGATGGAACAATGTGATTACTGGCATGTTCTCATAAGACTAGGATAATACATGCTGTAGGATTCATTTTGATACACATCAAAAAAGGCTACTTGGATATGGCACCTGCCACCTTACCAAACTGTTTTGACAAGAAATGCAAGTTAAATGCCAAAAACCAAGGTAAAATGTAGAAAATTGGCTACAAAAATGAATAAGAACTTAAACGTTCCACTAAATTTAGAGAATAATCTGTTGTATTTTAAGGCTGTTTTCATAGAGATGATATGTGGCTAGGTGCTGAATCATGATAAAATACATTTTTGCTAAATGGCAGAGTGTTCCTTAGCGAATGAAAGGATCTTTCAGAAATACAGAGCCTCCATTTATCAATGGACAATGATTCCTTGTTGTGCCTTCTGAAAAACATGATGGATCTTAATATTTTGAATTAGTACTCAGATTACATCACATAAGTAAGTTATCATCGTAAATGAGATGTGGGAAGCAAGTGGCAAAGTGGAGCTGAAACTAAAGATCAATTACGATTATATTGAACGATGGAGTCATCCAGTGGGCCACATTTACTCCTGCTCCTATATCTTATATTCTTACAGCTAAGCGAGTTGCCAACTAAATTGCCCATTGATTAAGATACGCATCATCGATTAAAATATTTTTCTCAGATTTCCATTGTTCTCAGAGAATCTCTGGTCAAACAAAAATTCCAGTCGTTTAATTTTACATACAGAAGTAACATACTAAATCAGTACCAAGCAGTCCAAGATCAAGTATAAAGTACAAGCTGTTACTTTTCCTCTACTCTACCCCAAGAAAAGTTCCCTAGCCCTAAGTATTACCACCCACGTACTCATCTTATGTTTGAGAATTATGCATAAGAAAACCTTGGGGCCTCTGAGATTCTTTTATCCTTCTATAGGAAGCTTTTTGTTGCCTTTCCCTAATTGCCCTTGAACTGACTGACATGTTTGGCCATTTCAGAAGGTGATTAAAAATCAACCACACTGCTATCGGTCCAGAGTCACACTTAGGCCAGACCAGGTAAGGATGGCAGATTTCTTTCCCTAATAAACATTAGTGAACTAGATGGGTTTTTATAAGAATTCATGCACAGTCACCATTACAAAATGATCTTTTAGAAATATAAATTGAATTTAAACTCAACCACCAGCTGCTGTAGTGGGATCCGAAACCAAGCTGTTAGAGGATTCACCTGGTTAGCTGCTGCTAGTCTATTGATATTATCACTTGCCACAGTGTCCCCCAGTTACCAGCTGCTGCCAAAATTAGACAGATGTGTATACCTGTACACACAGCCAGTAAGGAGTGCAAGACATTTAACAGTTGTTATCAATCTTAAATCCTGGAGACCATCAACTATTGAGTCACCAAGTTCCCTTTACAGCCATTTTTTGAACAATAGACTGATAATGTGCATTCCATGGTGGTCATACCTGCAGGACTGCGAATTGATATTACTCCATAATGAGATTGTTTATTTAAAATATTTGGGAAATGTTGTTAATGAGTATTGCACGACGCACTTAAAGAGCTCCATGGGCACAAGAGTTGGTGTGGGGAGTGATGGTGTGGTTATGAGGTAATTATTAAATCTTTGCCTTTCTCTACATTATTTCCGTCTTTAACAATGTGTTGGGCCCCAAAGATCCTGGTTCCCCAGTGCAAGAGTCCTGGAGCAGAATCACCGCTTAGCCCAGTCCAATGCCAGAAACCATAACCCCAAATTACATTTGCATGGCCAAGTTAACTGTACTGTGTCTATAAAGGCAGTACAACAGCAGCTGTCCCAGTATACCTACCTACAGTGGCACAATATGCATTGTGCAGTTCAGGAAACATGCTGTATGAAAGTTTTTACTGAAGGCTGTTTTGCAACAGGCACCAGGTGTGTGACCTGGGTCAGAACACTTTGGTGTTTCATTGCACAATTCTGCTTGCCCTTAACTTACACAGAAAATGGACCTCAATGGAGCTTGTGTACAGCATGTTTCCTCAACTGTGTAATATCCTATAAAACACATACTCGCACACAATCCCATTTGAATTTCTGGGCTCAATAACACACTAAGTTATCTCACAGAAGAACTTAAAACAAACATATTTCCAGTTCTTAATTAGTGCAATGTTTCTATATAAAGTAAATTCTAAATTGGATTCTACATACCTTGAGGGGAAATAGGGTGGTCCAGGCAAGAAATAAGGATGATGAAAAGGAAATCGGGCAGCAGCTCCGAACAGATTAGCAGCATGCCCCATTGGTGGATGTTGGTAAGCATGTGGATGTGGAAGAGTTGCTGAAGGCATTGGTGGTGGATTTCTAGGGCAGTTGGAAACAGTAGGTATCTCCTTTTGTGCTGGTACTTCAGGGATGGTAACTCTATTGTGGGTGTTATTAGTTTCATTTGTAGAATTTCTTTTGCCAACATCCACTGACATTGTAGGCATCCTTTGCTCTGAACAATTTGACACCGCACTTGGACCAGGAACCTCATGATGGACCTCACTTCTACTATGTCCTGGAGGACAAGTGGGTGGCACAGTGGGATGGTTGGATATACTTTGCGTAGGGAGACCAACCTGGACAGGATTTGTTTGTGGATAAAGTATAATTGAATTTGGACGAGGACCTTGAGAAACTGGCATGCGCAGAGATTGGCTTTGACCTGCTGGAGAATCAAGACATCATACATTACAGAACCAATAGTTATGAATTTGGTTGAAATATGTTATATTGTTTTAAACTTCAAATTATAATAATTAGAATTAATTCAGAATGACATGAAATAATTTAAAATAAGTCATTCCTTGATCTGAATATTAAGTCTTTCAGTATCTTCTCACTCATTAAGACACTGAAAATTTCAGTTTTACTGGCCATTGATGCTGCAAATGTGGTAGGATTTTTAAAATGTCCAATTTAAATTACATAATTGGTCCCCAGTTTTTGACAACTGAAAATAGCTGGCATGTTGACCAAGGTAGTATATAACATCCAGGTACCACATAAAAGACAGGCTGATCCACAAAGCTACAGTGAGTTAGGTAAACCGTAGCCCTAATTGCCACTGCCAAAAAAAAATCAATAATCATTGATATCATTGCAATAAGCAGTTACAATAGCACAACCACCACTACTCATCAGCACAACATGAAATTCTGTGCAGTGGCAAATCTCTATCATTTGTAATATGTGCGTTAAGTTGCAGCTGGTGTGAACAATTCCAACAAGCAGAATTGTATTATAATTGAGATCAATTACTATCAAAGTTATATGAATCAATAACAATGTATCATTGTACAAATTTTGAATTCAGCACAATTACGTAATTATATTTAGCTCACTGGTGTCTTTGTGAATTGCTATGGGGTTTTACTGATTTTTCTTCCATTTTGAGCTGCATTTTAACTCCTTTGTTATGCATTATTATAATTTTATCCACATTTTAACATCTAATGACACAGCCTTTGCATTCCTCCAATTATCATTTCATGAATATACTTGTTAGCAAAACTGAACTTCTGACTTCAATCTGGTTTTGCTCAATTAACCCATTTGACAGACGATCCCAGTCAGACTTTTGTTGGCCTTTCTCTTCAAGATGCTAAGCTGTTGTCAAATTCAAATATTACCTAATTTCATATTTGATGTCTACAATTTGTATTTATGATTTTTCTTATTGCTCTTGACCTCTTTAAGTCCGAAGCAGAGTGTAACCATGAATGTTATTAATCTCAGCTTTAAAGAATATCATGGGCACAATGTGATATTTATATTGAAGGGAACTGACCTCACAGCAACAATGTGATGAAATTGCAAGTGTTCATTCTTCAATCAGGTCATGTAAACATCATATCAGCATGCCATCCATATAACACATCCTCCATGAAATATTATCACTACCACGAGTAAAAATTACATCACATATCTATCTATGTTTGTTTAATATGAGTATTTTTGAGGTTATACTTATGAAAAAAGACTGAAAAGGCCTGTGTTGTATTTCTCAATAGAGTGGTTGAGAGGCCATTGGAGGCCTTGAGGATAATGAAAATATTTGGTAGGGTAGATGTAGTGAAAATGTTTCCACTTGTGGGGAAGGCAAAAACTAAGAGGTAAAATTACAAGATATTCACAAACAAATACAATAGTGAATGCAGAAGAAATGTCTTTACCCATAAGAAACATGTAATATAAAATTAATTACAACATTGAGCAGTTGAAGACAATAGCAGTACTGCAGTTAAGGGAAAGTGCAGTAAATAAACGAGGGAGAAAGGAACAGAACGTTATGTTGATAGGAGGAGAGGATGAGAGGTGAAATGAGGCTTGCGAGAGTGTGCTTGCTACCACAAACATGTTTCTGTAATGTATGTTCTGTGTAATCTATCAAAATAGTCCACTACAAACACTTGGTTAGAGTGTATGAAGCTCCAGCAAATAAAATCTCAAGATCTTTTGCAGCTGCAGTTAAATTTTTATGGTATTTTAGTGAGTCCATTCTGATACTTCCTGTAGTCTTTTTACTGTGTGATACTTCATGATTGTCTTTCTGTTATGATTTTTCATTTGTGAACATAGTAAAACCTCAATTTCCATAATAATTACGGTTGCAGTCAAAGTTTAGTCTTCCATTATTAAGGATGAATGTAATTGTCTTTTCATAGACATTGCATTCTTTATCCAGGAAGATAAGTGCATCAGTAATATGAACATTTACAATGATGATGTCAGCATGTATGTCAGGGGGTCTTGGCACACTAAGTCAAGGGCAGTCAGTCCTATGGCTCCATAGCACCCAGTCTAGCACCCCAGGGGTTGGGGCCAGGACCCACGGCTAGGACTAATGCAGTCGGGGGATCTATAGGCATTAGTCATGTGGCTGGGCATTTCTGATTCAGGGCTGCTGGTTAGGTCACACTAGAGAGTGTGCCATAGCAAGTGTATTGGTCAATTCAGAGAAACTAAGGGGAAGATGGGAATGCAGAGGCAGACAATTGGGTCGTTACCTTGATAAAGAAGACTTAGAAAACTACTCACAGGGTTTGGCAGCTTCTGGCTGGGGAAAGGACAAACAACAATTGTGAAGGGGGCAACTGTATTTGTAAAGGGGGATATGGGAAGCATGGATAGGAATAGGGTAATGTGGGAAGGGAATTCATCCAGTACTCTGGCTTCAAGTGGGGGACAGTATATGACAATAACTGGCATGGTCACCTCATATGCCATGGGGTTGGGGGTGAAAGGTGGTCAGGGGCAGGTTGGGTAGGAACCTGGGAAGATCCAAGTCAAAGTGGGTTTACAGGAAGGGTCATCAGGAAGGGGATCTGGATATTCAGGGATCATCGATATGCAGAGGCAGAGGTTGAAAGCCATTTTTCAAATAACGTCATCTCGGCTTCTATTGTGATGGAAATTGAAAGCACGCAATAGGGTAAAAAATGATGCTGACCACAAATAGTGGGGTAAATATCTTGACATGTTAGGAAGGGGGCTGCCAAATTTACTGAGGACAAAAAGATAGGAAAGTAAGTTATGAAGAGGACATAAGGAGGCTACAAAAAGATTTAATCCATAGAATCCCTACAGTGTGGAAACAGGCCATTTGGCCCAACAAGTCCACACTGTCCCTCCGAACAGCATCCCACCCAGATCCATTCCCCTAATTTCCTGTGTCTAACCCACCTAACCTAAACATCCCTGGGCACTATGGGCAATTTAGCATAGCCAATCCATCTACGCTGCAGATCTTTGTACTGTGGGAGGAAACCACAGCACCCAGAGGAAACCCACGCAGACATGGGGAGGATGTGCAAACTCCACGCAGACAGTCTCCCGAGGCTGGAATCGAACCCAGGTCCCTGGTGCTGTGAGGCAGCAGTGCTAACCACCGAGCCACTGTGCTACCCAGTTAAGTGAGTGGACAAAGATCTGGAAAATGGAGTATAAAGTGGAAAAATGTGAGGTTGTCAATTTTGGCAAGAAGGATAAAAAGGAAGCACATTCCCTAAGTATTGAGAGATTGCAAAGCTCTTGAGATGCACAGGAATCTGGGTGTCCTGGTGCATGAATTTCAAATGGCTAAGTTACAGGTATGGCAAGTACAGCAAATTTTTTTATTAACTGGCAGATTTTGGACCAGGACTGTGCCAGTTGATCAAATATTCTGGATAATGAAGGGATATGCATAACCTTCAAGACATTAACATCTCTCAAAAAATCTATATAAAAACATCAACACCCCTGCTAAAATCAATGTAAGAAGACACATTAAGTCACAGAAATGTAATGTGGAGTGGCGGGGTATATATGTCACTGTTATACTTTACAGCCTAAATACTACTATTGCAGTAGATCGCCGTATTTGAAGTACTGTACATAATTTTTGCTGGTTTAACAAGAGTGCCAGTTGATAAGGTTACTTTAATGAGGAAAGCTAATGGAATTTTACAATTTTTTCTGAAGGGAATTGAAACAAGTAGGGAGGTTCTGCTTCAATTATACAGGGCAGTGGTGAGATCATATCTGGGGTAATACATACACAATTAGCTTTCATATTTAAGGGAGAATGCATATGCATTGGATGCAGTTTATAGAAGGTTTACTATATTAATACATGGAATGGACAGGCTAGGACTTTAGAACAGTAAGAGGGAGTTAGTTGAATGATAAATTATGCTGATGGGTCTTGACAAGCTCCAAGTGGAGAAGTTATTTCCCTGTGGAAGAATCCAGAACTAGGGGTTCAACTACTTTAAAAAAAGAGGGCCCATTTAAGATGAAGAGAAGGAGAATTCATTTACTACTGGGACAGCAAAGTTTGGGAGGGGGCAAAGGGCTTATTCCCACTCCTAATTTGTACTTTTACGTATGGACTCAGTGTGGTATTACACTTTTAACCTGTTCAAGCAAGTGTCTTCAGTTTTGAATACTGGGAGAAGGTACAAAACAGACATTATGATCCAGTTTAACTATATGAGGGGTATACATTAACTTTTTAAAACTATAAATGACAGAAGAATTTGCTTATTCAGACACAGTGTGACACTAGGTGCTGTATGAGGTTCTTACTATTATGTTCAAAAGCCAATGTTGAAGTGAAAAAAATGGCAAGGAGCTGTCCAATTGATGGCCAGTTGCCACAAGGTGTTGCAATGTATGCATTTAGGCAGGTGTAGCAGGATAGTTTGAAAACTATTGATCCGACTGATGTCAGCATAAGACTCAACATATACAGTATTTGAATATATTCTATTTTTTTTTATCTATATTTAACATGAGAATCTCAATCCAAAGTACTTTCTTCATCATTATACATTCTAGTGATCTCTTGTCTTCTCTTCACAGAGTACGGAAAAGGAAAATCTTGCTAATGTAGTTAATTATGGACATTCAATTTAACCATGAGTCATTCCCTAAGCCGGAATAAATCAACAACACAGCTAAACATACTTCATAAACTAAGCAAAAAAACTAAACAACTGTGGGCGCTGGAAATCAGAAACAAAAACAGAAATGCCGGGAAATCTCAGCAGGTCTGGTAGCATCTATGGAGAGAAGGGTCACAGGGCCTGAAATGTTAATTCTGCATTTTCTCCACAGATGCTGCCAGTCTTACTGAATTTTCCCGGCATTTCTGTTTTTGTTATGCTTCATATCTTTCAC